CTCACACACACGACACACACACTCATTCACACACACCCCCACCGCCCCCGCGCACTCCCGCGCGATTTCTAGGAACCGTCCCCAGACGGACAGCCCCGCACCTCCCCGCTGCCCCCTACCCCCCACCATCAGAGAGGGGCAGTATCAAGCACAAAACACGTGTCCCGGAGAGGGGAAGCTGGCTGATGTGGGGGTATTTTCCAGTTGGGTTTTTTTTTCACTCTTTGGCCACATTTTTTCACGGGATTTTTGGAAGTGAGAGAGATACAAAAGGATCTTGCAGTCCTGACCCGTGCCAAAACACAACTTTCTTTTTTTTTGCTAAGCAATGCCGTGCCCACGTCTCGCGAAGAGGCGTGTGTGGACGAGACCTTGAGTGTGCCCCACTCTGCCTCGCTGCAGCTACCCCAGACAGCTAAATCTGTTTGGGTCCCCAGATGTAAACACATGCACAATCACAGATGCACACATCGAGCATTTTTTTAATAGCAGTTTCATAGAGAGGTATTATGATCACATATATCTAAAAGGTAATTAATTTGATTTATTATACTTGAAAAATCCTGTCTGCAGTACCGGCGTCATCTGGAAACTTCATGCTATTTTATACTATCGTTCTGAAGCCGAAATAAATGTTACGAATTGATGACAGCTTCCAGCTGCATGATAAAAATAGCCCCTTCACTTCACAGGATCGTGTTTCATGTTATCGAAGATGAACCAATTCTGACCCATAGATGTTCGCAGCAGGAAAAAAAATTGATACAAAATAAAAAGCTTGGCCATTTTTAATAAACAATGCACCCTAAATCACGGCATCTTTGCGATGAAACGGAACCCACCTTCTTCCGTTCAGCAAGTTCAAGAAATCAGTCCTGCCCCTCGTTCAAAATACGAATCTCAATTATTAATCTTTTTGGAAATTACACCCATTTTGTTACAAACGCGATCCATTGTACAGAAACATTCCCATTAAATAATAGAGGCCTTCTGTGAGCCTTCGAAAATATACCTCTACGTAAACACACCAATATGTGTCTCTCTAGAAACACTGCTCCTTCTTTATGTACAAATGTAGACACAGAGAGAGGTGTATATATACAGATGCGGACATATTAGTAATAAAACCAGCAACACGAACGGCGATTCCGGTGAGCTTGTGCGCATCTGCAGCAGTGACCGTGTGTTCTGTGAGTTATATCCTCAGCACAGGTAGTGCCGGTGCCCTCCACGAGACCCCCCGTGCCCGCGGAGCCGTGCGGGACGGAGGTGGAGGAGCTGCACCGCAGGCCGGGCTGCGCGGCCGCGCCGGGCCCCGGCCGGGCCTCTCAGTCTTCTTCGGCCTCTTCCCGGCAGCAAACTCCCGCTCAGCAGGGAATCGCCACCTTTTGAGGAAAACGTGCTGATTTGCCTCGGAAACGCCGCGCTGAGCCGCGGGGACCAGCCCTGCGTTTCGAGGTGCCCGGCTCGCTCGCGTGCGCGGGGCGGCGGGCGCGTTCCCCGCACGGGCAGGCACACCCGTGTGCGGGCTCGTGTGAACGGGGTGCGTCTGTGTGCAAATGCATATGTAAACTTCATAATGGTGATGTATAGTGTGCCTGGTACCTGTACAGCCTCCTTCGTGGGCTTATCGCTCACGAATTCCTCTCTCCATCTGATCTGCAACGGCAAAATGCACACTGGTTCTTTTAGCGTTAGGTCACTTGAAATACCCTGCCTTTTCCAGAGGGGATCTCCTTCCCCGTCCTGCCTGCTGGAAGTGGACTTTGCAGCGGGGCTCTGGCTCCTCGCCGGCCGCGCCGGGGCTCCTGCGGCCCCGGGTGTGCTGCGGGGCTCCCTGCGGGCCCGCTGGCCCCGCTCGCCGCTCGCTCTCTTTAAAAGTTGCTGCAAGAGGAGCAGGCGCTCCGGACGTAGGAAAACTTACAAAGTCTGAGCCGTTCACCAGCGTGGCCAGAAAAGCAGCAAACAAAAATGCCGATTTTCTGTACATCAGTCCAGTAGCTGCTGCTTCCTCGCGGCTGAAACAAGGGCAATAAACCAGGCGAGGCCAGCGCGGAGCGGGTGTCCCTCTTTCAAACAGTGTCTGCTCTAAAGAAGCTCACTTTGGCTTATGAATGGCGGACGCGCCTTGTAATAAATTCAAGCGATCACTCACAAGCCATTAAAGCGACCTGAAAGGCGAGTCTTTCGCAGGGGAAATAGAAGCACCCGATTATTGTTTTGCGTTTAACTTTCTGCGTGCAAATGGCATAAGCACGGCCGGGGGCTGCCACCCGAGAAGGACCAGCACACACAGCTCTCCACACACCCACCCGAACAGCCTCCTGTACCCTCCCTAGTGTACTGCCGTCCTGCCTTGTGTAGGTCCAAACACTCTTCCGCGGCGGCGGGAGCCTCCGCGGGCGCGGGAGACTGCGGGAGGCAGACAACAGACCCAAGCGATTTGATTGCCCCGGACCAGGCAGCGCGGGGCTGCCGGCATGGCCTGCCATGGGCTACAAAACCTCATAACCCAGACAGGGAAAGTATCAAGACAGCATCTCCAGAGCCAGACATCAGAAAGAAAATTATGGCCCCCGTTGAGGCTGGAGAGCTGGGATCGGTGTTTCTCTCCGCAAACCTTCGTGAATAAATCCGCAAAGGACGCCTTGCTAGAGGAAAGTTGACTTTAGGGACTGAAACAGCACAGAAACCGCCGAGAGACGCCTCACAACCTCTCTGCCTGAAAAAACACCCCTCTCTCAGCCGGGGATTTCAAAGCACTGCTCCCTTCTCCAGACCCAAGCGAACAGAACAAGCACCAGCATGGCGTGGACTTGAATTCAGCATTAACAATTCCAGCCCTAGTGATCGTCGCTAATTCAGAACATACACGGGATGGCGATCAACCAGTATCGCACCGTTCCACTTCACCACAGATAAAAAGCCAACAGCAGCAGCAAAAACAACACTAGAATCATTCTTTCTGCTGTAGGACGCTCGAACAAACCTCAGACCGAAAGTTTAAAAGAATACTCATTAACCAAGTGTTCCAATACACACGAGTAACAGATCTGTGTTAAGCGACCACTAGGGACTTTACACAAGTTCAAAGAAACTTGCAAAACGCATCTTTAAAATATCTCATCCTCACCACGTTTCTCCGGGTTTACTTTACAGATGTATGGCTCAGAATAGCTCTACGATATTTCTTTTTTTCTTAGTTGCACTCAGATTATATCTTTTAAAACTGATGCCTGGTCAAGTCGGCGGGACAGTTACCCTGAAAGACTCGCAGGGAGCAACATTTTCGGCGCATGAAACATTTTTTCCCCCGGCTCTTTTAACGATGGGTTAAATTTCCTCAAGTCCCAACACTTTCCGCCCAAGTCCCACCGGGCTTCAACTTTTCCTATCTCGCCAAACCCTGCAAGGTGGCGCTCTTTTCATTGAAAACTGATATTAGCCTTATAATAATAACATTTTGTAGAAAGTAAAGTTAAAGCGAAGCCTTCCCACGGGTGCTGCAGGGAGCAGGCGGGGATGCTGAGCTGGCAGGAGCGGGGTTTCGGATGAGCAAGGCAAAATCTTTTTTTTGGGGGGGGGTTGGGGGAGCGATGTGTTTTGGGGCAGTGAAATGTCTCCGAGGGAGATCCTCAAATGTTACGGACAAAGAAAAATAGTTGCGGGGTGCTGTTGAGAGATAGCGGGCTGTGCTCTGGGCGGGTTACCGCTGGGGCTGCGGAGCGTCCGCACGGATGTGTGGGGAAAGCGGCTTCCCCCGTACCCCCGCCCCCCGAGCGGTTAATATGGCTATTGACTCGCTGTACACATAATATTTCTTTAAAGAAGCTGTTAAAGTGTCATCTTGGTCTACTGGAAGGTCAGTTTGTGCAATTCACTCTATGACATATCACAAGCCCTCGCAGCTTTAGCCAACCTCATGATTTGTGTTGTCTGTTGATATGTTGTCTGCTTAATGGGGCGATCATGCAAGCTACAACCAGGAACAAAGCCCAACAGTTCCAACAACCGTAGCTAAGTTAGTGGAAGCAGTACAGCTTGCAAATCTATCAAACTAAACTGCAAGGAAGACAATCTGATTTAGAGAAAAGGCGTTCTGCTACAGTCATTAAGCACAAGTAATTTAGATTTTTTATATTGTCTTCTCATTTACAAATTTACTGTATCAACGCCAGCCAATGGAACGAATTTCTTAAGTAAATGAGAAATAAATAAAAGAGATAGAAAGATAATCAAATTACATAAAATAATTCTTATGCCCTAGATTTATTTTTTTAGAAAGCTATTAACACTGGCAAAATTATAGTAATAATAATAACATAACATAAGAAGTAATTGATTTAAATTAACATCACGTTTTAAGGAATATCAGCAAAGAAAAAAAAGGGGGGGAAAGGAAAAAAAAGAAACAAAACCCAAATAAAAAATACACACAACAACAACAACCGCCTTCGTGAAACAGTGCTGTACTTCTTGGAGTAAAAGGCCCAAGGAAAGTCATGAATCCATTGCCTAAGAATTAGTTATGGTCATAAATGCCTTAAATTAAAATAGCAACTGAAATCTCCTCTGTTTTAAATCTCCTAATATATGTTATCCGAATTAATTTAATTTAGGGACCCAGTCTATGCAGATTCATGGACAGTGTTGGAGTGGAATGCAGCACTTCTCGTGTAACAATTCCCCACATTAATATTTATGTAGCATATGCAATCTATTTCTGTTATTTTTATGGTTGTTATTCTATGTCTGCAAAGGTCATTTAAATTATACTGCGGCCGAAAATTTGTTTCATAAATTTTGATATAAATACTAATTACACACTATAGTAATGCCAGCAGGGATCCTTTCATTTATCACATTTATATCACCTTCGCTGCTTTAGTGATGACATAATGGAAAGCAGTGAAAAACTGGGACAGTTTTATTCTAATATCCTAAAGCTAGTTGGAGTTGCAGCAGGTTGACTTAGCGAATAAGAATTCCTACCACAATTCTTGGGATTTAAGAATCTTTAATAAGGTACGAAATGTTACCAAACAGTTCTGTAAACTAAATTTTACATACCAATTCTTCTAGCCATAAATATTGAATATCTTGTAACAGGTATAACCGGACCTTTACATGCGGATAAATATGGAAATTAGGATTTATATACATTATGTTCTTGTATTTGCCAAAAGCAACGGACAGATATAGTTTATATCTTTTTTTTTTAATATCACTTTACATAAACAAATGTAACAGTTTGACACGCAGATCCAGGCTTTCACTATACGAATTTCTTGACAGGACGTGTAACAACATTTTACTGCACTACTTAGACTGGACTTTGGGACGAAATGTTGCACTTTATACAAAAAAGCACATTAATACCAATAATATTCTGTTAGATCGACGTTTAGACTGTAATAATACAAAGTAATTCACATTTTGGTACACATTTACTAGAACATTCTTGCCATTCAGTACAAATAGTTGAATTTCTACCTCTTCCCTCTGCCCCCCCACCACCTCCGCCCCCCCCGCCACCGCTCCCGCCCGCCCGCCCCTCCCCCCACATATATGCAAAGACCACAAATCCACATATCCCCTTATTCAACTTGCGATATAACTATTTACAAAATCAATCAGTACATTTTTTTGTTGTTTTGTTTTTGAAGCTAATAATTCTGTATTTACAAGAGGGGATGGGGGGGAAGGCCGCTGCCCGAGCAGACATGCAGTTGGCGATCTCTAATCAGTGGTTTCCAGTAAAGCCCTACACAGTTGGCATTTGCCCTGGTAACCTTGTCTTTTTATGCATTCTACTAACCCCTTCGCCTACCAAGCCTTGGAACAGAGCAGAACAGTCAGGAAAAAAAAAAAAGAGAGAGAAAAAAAAAAAAGGAGAAATAGTAAGGGAAGAAAAAAAGAATAAAAAAGATTTTAAAAAATGAAGTCTTCATTTTACTCAGTCCTGGGTCTACTGGCAGCATTTTACTTTTGTTTGCTCATTTAAATTTTGATTTCAAAGTGTTCATTATTTTTGGAGTTTTTAAATAGGGTATTTGTTTGCTCGCTTGGGGCTTTTTGTTTTGTTTCGGTTTGTGTTTTGTTGTTGTTGTTGTTGTTTTGTTTTAGCGTTTTAGACGTACCATTCGTTAAAATTTGATGTAAGCGTGCTGTGGCTGGACGTGTGATGGACTGCGGAGGAGGAAGGGGATAGGGAGCTGGCGGTCTGGTTTTCTGTGGATGGAGACACGATGGTTGGTGGGGTGGAGGACTCGTAGCCTGAGCTGGCGGCGGGAGAAGGCTGGGACCCCTGCGAGGATGATTCATGGACCTGCAAAAGAAAACCCGGGCAGAGATAGAGAGCAGCGGTGGACGGAGGCCTTCGCCTGGGGATGCGCCAGACAACGGGACCCAGCGCCGAGTCCCAGGCTCGGGCACTCCTGCGGGGCTCGCCGGTGGCCCCGGCCCCAGCCCCTGCCGGCGGGGGAAGGCCGGACTGCGCCCCCCGGCTGCCTCCTGGTGCTGCCCCCCCGCCCCTCCCCGGGCAAACCGCACCGCCCGAGGGCCCCGCGGAGGGGTCGGTGCTGAGCGCGGCGGGGCGAGGGCGGCG